AATAGTTGCTCTAACAAATACTATACTTTCAACAGATATCAAGATGAACTGGCTATTTACAAAAGCAGCCAACAACAGGAATTTTCTGATGACTTTTATGCAAGTGGTACTCAGCTCTTTTGCCGCTTCTGTAATAAGTCCATTGATTTTACTAAACACTCTACACTTAAGAATTATCAACAATCTGCAAAATATATACATCAAAAGAAACACAACTTAACCGATTAACATCAAGCTCAAGTTCTACAATGCCTCGTCAAACTACACTGCCAGTATTGTTTCTATTAGCACCAGAAAATGTTCAAATTAATATTGATTTAGTTACAGCTTTTGCAGAAGCTGATATTCTTTTGGAAAAGGTTGATAAAATCAAACCTTTTTTAATTAAATATTGCAATAATGATAAAGCTTTGCTATTGACATAGTATTTAAATATGAATTAAATAATTTGAAATATTAAAATATAATATTTAATTATATAAATATAGGCGGTGCAATTGTTGGGCCAAACCAACTTCGTGAAAAATATTTATCTCTAGCTTTTTCACAACGATATAATCTTTTAAAATCTGAAATTTATCAAAAAAAAATTTCAGTAACAATGGATAAAACAACTGATGTATGTAGCTGTAGTGTTGTTAACATCTTATTTAGTTATGATAATAAAACAAAGCTAGTAGCAACGAAATATTTAGCAGTAGTTAATAATATAACGATTTCTCAATTATTTATATCAACGCTTTCTTTTTATAATGTTTTGATTGAGAATATTATTATGTTTATTAGTAATAGCGCATCCTATATGAAGAAAGCATATTATAATATTTCTTTAATTTATCCTGAAATTTGGCATAATCCATGTTTAGCTCATATATATAATTTAGTTAGAAAAGTATTAATTGAATTTCCAAAATTTTTTCTTGTTAATGAACTTGTTATACTTATTAAAACACTTTTTATTAATTCAAATGCAAGAAAAAGAAGATGGATTAGTTACTTACTTGAAAATAGCAAAGAAAATTCAACTCTTCCTTCTTTACCAGTTAAAACTAGATGGAACTCATAGTTCTGATTTATTTTTTAGGTTCATTCTTATTTATATCAGCTTGCAAGTTTTTTTGTAGAAGAATCTCTTTTATCTGAAAGTAGTGCAGCTATTAAAAAACTTATTAATATTTTTAAAGATCAAAATACTTTATTTTGGATAGATATCGTTATTTCATTTTTAACTTTAAATTCACAAAGGTTAATTAATTAATTAATTATTTAATTATTTTTAATATTACTAATATTATTAACTATACTATTTATTCTATTTAGCATAGTTAATGATCTTGAATTTTTTAAAATTCGAAATCAACCAATTGCACTATATGTATATAACCGAATTGAGATAACTAAAGCTTCATTAAAAGCTAAAGCAACAAATCTAATATTAACTCAAGAAGCAATGAAAGATATTAGTGAAAAAGGTTATAATATTGGTGAAACAAAAGAAATATTAGCACAAGCATTTTCTCAAGCTTTAGAAAAATTTGAATTACATATTAATCAACATTCTGCACTTACATTATTTAAAGCAATTTGTTGCTTTAATCCACGTTATATTCGTATTCAACAAATTAATCATAATATTTCATTATATACAGCTATTTCAAAATTCAAAAATCCAACAAATAAAATAATTAATGAATGGGGAATTTATTGTAATTTGGAAGAAGTTCTTGATGAAAACTTAAATTTAGATTCATATTAGAAAACAATATATGATAAACTTCCAAATCTTAGCAAACTTGCATTAGTTTATATTTGGTTACCTATATCAGGTGTAGATGTTGAACATAGTTTTTCTAATTATAAAAATATTCTTGATAATAATCGTCATACACTTTCAGAAGAATCTTTAGAAAAACTTAATATGTTATATTTTAATAAAGAAAATTAGAATAAATATAATTAAAATATAGTTATTTTTAAAATTTTATATTATAAAAACTAAAAATTGATCTTGTATAATTTAAAATTAATTAAAAAAATTTTTTTTAAAATTATTAGCATAAAAAGCATAATTTTATATTATTAGCAAGCATAATTTACTATCATTAGCAGCATAATTCTGAACACCCTAGCCATAATATATCCTTTTTTTTGTTGTTGGCTGCTTTTGTAAATAGCCAGTTCATCTTGATATCTGTTGAAAGTATAGTATTTGTTAGAGCAACTATT